CATTGAAGTGGCCGAGGAGCAAGCAGCGGTTTTTCCAGTAAGAACGACGATTATAGATAGAAGTAAATGTAAATTGCTATCATGCATAATTAGGAAGAGGAAACGGGGTTTGACTAATCCCTGGCGGCAAGGCTGCGGTGGTGGATGCACTCGGAAAGAGAAAGCAAATGTTGACATGGAGGGCTTGTAGGTGGAGCCTCAGATTTACAGCAGAGTCTCCGTCAAAGAAAGAGACTTTGTGTTGCCCCATCCTTATTAGTCTCTTTGTTCTCTGGATTCGGCGTGTTCTTCTGGGGTGTCAGGCACTTTTTCTCTCTATTCCTTACCCTATTTTGTCAGTGCTGTGTATCAGGTTTGTGTAAATGTTGTTTCATTGGTAGCCAACATAAATGGGAGACTGGTGCCTATATAATGGTGTGCTTTGAAGATATGCTCTGCAGAATGCTTTTAACCATTGGTGCTGTAACTTGTGGGACTTGCTGGTCTTGTGAGAGGATGAGAACAGATTCAGAGGTAAAAGTGCAGGCTGTGACTTGTTGCCTGCGAAAGTAAGTTCAAGCTTGCCAACTGTGGTACTTTAAGGAAAAGATAAACCATTGCTAACACTTTTTTTAAAAAAATCTTAGAATGCATCCTTTTAACTAGTACTAGCCAACAGCAAACTTCATACTGTAATCGGATAAAGCTTTCAGTTGCTGAAAGTAGGTCCACACTAGTCAAATATTATTTTACTCTGATAACAGTCCTCCGGTATCTTGAATAACAAGTTGACTTTTTATTTTTGATTACCTGTAAGGTACCTTTGAAGTACTCCTAGGAATTATTAGGTTTGCAGTCATGTGCATACTTGAGATCTAGTCTTGTTGAATTTAATGGGACGTGAATTTTTATGCATAAGGTTGTGCTGTACAACTGTTAAATTTTGGATAATAGATCACATAGATCAAACATAACATTACTTATGTTTTGTACAGTGTCTGTAGTTCTGATGGTATTTCTTCATGATGAAAAAATTTACAATTCTTTCAGCAGGACAAAAGGAACAAGCTGTTGAATGGTACAGAAAAGGAATTGAAGAACTGGAGAAAGGAATAGCTGTACTAGTTACAGGTCAAGGTAAGCCAACCTTGAGTGTGTGAAATAATGTGGTTGTGGTTGCCTTAACTTTTTTTCTTCGTCTGATAGATCAGACTGGAGAATAGATCTGAATGGGGAAACCATACAGTACAGAGGGGAAACAGTAATAATATAGCAAAAAATATCTAGAATAATTTTTTGTTGAAGTAAAAAAGCCCTAGTTCTCTTTTTTTCTGTTGTCGCCTTGCCTTGTGACAAGTTCCTTAAAATAAATACCGTTTCCTTAAGGTTCTATGTTTCTTAGTTTGTTGTGCAGACTAGTAAAAAGGATTACCAAATGATTAAAGCACAAGAACAGGCCAGCTTTTTTCCTAAAAGAGCAGTTGGTTGGCAGAGGAAGCTTATCATAGCCTTGTGAGGGCAGAAAGGTGGGATATAAATTTTATTTTTAAAATGTCAGTGTCTTCACATCAAGTAGCTGTTTAAAGGTGCAGCTCTCTCTGATACATTTTTATTCGTCAAGGAGCAGCATGCATGGCTCTCCTTCATTTTATCCTTGAAACTGTTCGGTGGGGTAGATTAAACTGAGAGAGTGACTGGCCCAAGGTGACCCAGAAAGATTCAGGGCAAACGGGTGTGTGTGTGTGTGTTGAGCCTGGGTCTCCCAGATCCTTGTCTGACACTAACCACCATAGCACCTTGAACAGTTTGGTTGCCAGTTTTTCAAACAGTAAATGGGGTGGTTAAGGTACAGCCATTATTCAGTTCGAATTGGATTAATGCAGATACAGGTCAGTAAAAGTTTCATGACAACATTGACACATGTGATGCAGCAGTGATACAATCCTTGTTCATAAGTGTGTATATTTAAATATTCAGCTTTTCTCTCACTCTATGTAGTGAAATGGAGTAAGTTGTGTGGGTCTGATTTGTCCAGGCACAAATTCTAAATACGTGTGGGTTGTTTAAATCCAACTAAAATCAGTGGAATTTAAGGTTATTTTGTGGTGGGTTTCAGCCCAATCTTATTTGTGCTTACATCTGCCCATCAATCTCCAATTCTGACATATTTATTTCCTTCACTATGTTTCCTCCTGGAATTAAACCTGAACAGATTGTAACCAGATAAACTAAGATTGTTATTCCTGTTTGGTCCTTGAATCTTAAACGTCTTCATTATGCTGTGTGCTGATTTACTGCTCACCGTCTGCCTATATGTATGGACTGGTAATTTCCATTTCATTGTATCTGAAGAAGTGTGTGTATGAGAGCTTATACCTTGAACAAAACTTTGTTGGTCTTCCTGGTGTCACTGGTCTCAAACTCTGTTCTGCTGCTTCAGACCAACATGGCTACTCACCTGAGTCCAATCCTATATATGCTTACTTGGAAGTAAGACCCATTGAATTCAGTGGGACTTCTTAGTAATGCTGCTTAGGAGTGTAGTTGCAGGTGTTTTTTGGTTACACTTGGAACATTGTGAAGCTGCTGCACCCTTTGCTGTCTAACATCCTGCAGATCTAACCTCCACAAATACAACATATTGCTTGTTCAAATATCAAGTATCTGTTGGGTTTCAATAGCAGCTTCGGTCTATACAGTAAATAGGTGAGAACTAAAGTGGGGAGTTGGGTGACTTGCTGCAGGGTAACGTTGACTTTCTCTTCCTCTGGTAAACCTTCATTCTATTTGTTAATTCCTAGTCCTTGAGCATAGAAGCCTGTGAATATTTGAATTGTATAAGAATACTGGATTGATGTGTTCAGAAGAATAAATCATGAGCACAAAAATTGTCCTGCTATAGGAGGGCTTTAAAAAATCAATCTCTTATTAAAAAATCTCTGTTGAATGGTCAGGTTTTGGTGGGGAGGGATTATATCAATTTAATCTTGGGCTTTGATTCATGTTCATTCAAGTGTAGCTTTCTGTGTTATATTTGTTCTTAAGCACAGGATTAAAATTTCTATTGCATATTTAACTTGGATGGCAGGAAGGTACTTTTGTATGTAATTAGCAAAACCATTATAATAGAATTACAATGTCAAGCATTAAGAAGTGTCTCATACCTATGTTAATGACATCACTAGTTTTCTTTGGTTAACCATCTTGGGGCAAGGTCCAGCCAAAGGCAGTCATTTTTTAGTTCCCTTGATTTCACTGGGAGAGTTAGGCACATGTTTAACTCTTATCTGGAAATTAATGGGAGTAGTAGGCACCTATTGAAATCAATGACTTAAATGTTCTCTGGATGCTGTGCCTAGTTTTTACAGATCTCTAATTTGAAATATATACAGCTTTCTAGAAGAACACTGTTGTTGCTGGTTTCATATAAGCACTTTGAAAACCTGAATGGGGAGAATTCTAAGTGGCCTGAACATGCTCTTTGTACTGCTCTCATTTGCATCCATTTCTTGTATGTGCAGCTCAGCTGTCCCAAAATGAGGGAGAGCATGTCCAGGCTAGTCGTAATGTTAGGTAACCATGCGGAGCATCATGGATGCTTCTTGCTGTATTAGACACTTCTGGCTCCATTTTATTTTTAAAGTTTGCTGTAATTTTGGTATTTTATATTCCTTTTGTAACACTGCCTTCACTACAGTATTTAACTTTTTTTTTAAGGTGATCATTATGAACGAGCTCGACGTCTCCAATCTAAAATGATGACAAATTTGGCAATGGCCAAGGATCGTTTGCAGCTGTTAGGTACTGCTTAATACTATTACTTCGGGAAAATGTTGAGATTAGTTACACAATGCATATGTTTAAGAGCTTTTTTTGAATATTACAGGGGGAATAGCCATTTGAGACACGTAAGAATTTTTTTAAGGGCATCTCAAGGTATTAGATTTTAACACTTAGTAATAAAAGTATAGGAATATTGTTAGTTCTGTTCTTTTGTAATTTGACAGGGCGTGGGGGAAATACTTTTCTATATTTCCCCCCAAAATGAAGTATTTGAAAAGTAGCCTGGCTGCAGTACTGTTAGTACTCAGTCAAATCTTTGAGAAGGTTAAGGGAATTTATTTATTGGATGCAAATTCATTTAATGGAGAGCGACATAAGGGTCCAGCTTAACTGTTTGCTGGTACTTAAATTCTGGAACAGACTGTAGACCTTCCTATTTGTATGTCATCCTTTTACAAGTTCAAAACTATTACATTTTTCTAAAACGCATCATGAACCCAAGAGTGGGCAGCTTGTTTATCATTGATGGCAACTCTGAAGGCATCAAAGCAATGATAAATGTAAGTGGCAGTACTTAGGAGAAGCTAGATGAAATTAGATGACACAGTGCAGTTTTGTTAAACAGCTGCTGTCTTGATTGTAGGCCAGCTGCCTGTAATTCATGGTTTCATAGCACTGTTAAAAAAAACATACCTTTCTTTGGTTGTGTGAGGTGATGGTGGTTACAGCATGGGCATGGCTACAGTTGTGCTGGCACTGTGTTTGGTTTAGGTGTTCATCATTATTTTCTTGACGGTGAGGAAGGTCATAATAGAAGACTGGTGTGAGAAACCATATCATGTGATTGTTCTAGTGGTATTCAAGTAAGAGCACATTTTCAGGAAGGTGTCAGGAAGATGCAGCAGTTGTCAACCCATTGTAACACAATTCCTTTGTGTTCATTTTGTCATTTGAGATTTAGTTAAAATAGTCTCTAGATTCCCACTTAAGTGCATGTTGCCCAGTTTTCATGTTTTAGTCTGTCCAAAATTTGGTTAAATTTCATCAGTTCAAACTCTGGCTGGTCTATATATGTTCATAATCCGGAACTGTCTGGTGACTGTAACAGAGAAACGACCTTTCAGACCTCCTGTGTGGTATGGCCTCCTTCTCCCCTCAAAACCCATCCTCGTGTAAAGCCTTTGGCGTAACATCCTAGTCTTCATCCCCAGCAAAAATGTGTCTTGAGTAACGTGCAATGAAATATGTACGTTTCCATTTAATTACCCTGCAGAACTCTCCTCTCATTATTTTCTAACCCTCAGTCTGGATTGTAAGCTTCTAAGGGTTTTTTGTTTCTTATCTGTAAAGTACCCTGTATATTAATGGCACTGTCCTAACTAATAATGGAGCTGCGGTGGCTCAAGTGGTTAAGATGCTGAACTGCAGGCTTGGAAGGTCAGTAGTTCAGCAGTTCGAGACCTGGGTGCCGCATGACGGAGTGAGCTCCCGTCTCTAATTCCAGCTCCTGCCAACCTAGCAGTTCGAAAGCAAGAAATTGCAAGTAGATAAATAGGTACCACTCCGGTGGGAAGGTAACAGCATTCCGTGCGCCTTGGTGTTTAGTCATGCCGGCCACATGACCACGGAAACGTCTTCGGACAGTGCTGGCTCTTCGGCTTTGAAACGGAGATGAGCACCGCAACCCTAGAGTCGGATTCGACTGGCTTTCGAGCAAGGGAACCTTTACCTTTTACCTAACTAATAAAACCGTAATTAAGAGTTAGTGTTTGTTTTATGTAATGTTTCTTGTCTGCCTGTCAGTGTTCTATCTGGAAAGGTGGAGAGAACAAGCACTGCTAATTCAAAGCTTTGGAAATGGGAATCAACATTTTTAGAGATGTAACAGTGAATAATGGTTTCTAATCCAAACACTATACATTTGGGTTCAGCTATTTACCTTTTAGTTTCTGAGCGCTTGAGTACACAGGTGTCCTGTTCAATTTGGCCCAACATTTCTGTGAGACAGAATAAGACTAGCAGTGCAAATATAAGCACGTCTACTCAGAATCCTACTCAGGTGTATTCTATGGGACCCAGGAAATTGTTTTTAGGAATGCACTCCTAATCCTGCTTATCTGGGAGTAGCTCACATTGAACTCAGTGGGGCTCATTTCCAAGTAAGCATGCAGAGGACTGGGTCTGTAAGGCTCAGATTCTGCATACTTTGAAAAATATTTCAAATGTTACACTTCTGTTTTAGAGTACCAGATTGGGATTAGTTTTAACAGAGTTACTTAATTATTTGATTTCTGATAAATTTGTGTTGCCCATCAAATTTTGAAAAGTACCATTTGTGTATCCCTCAAGTTTCTTAGTTGGCTGTTTTCACATAAGGAGAAATTATTAAATGGAAGGTCACCTTGACCATTACGTGTTTCTTCACCTGAGGTTATTTTCTTAAAACCAGAGGTAGCTTTTGGAGGCTGAGAGTAGAGGAATGGCAGGTTTCTTAACTCTTTTATTCTTTCTGTTTTCCATGGAAAACTGCCTTGTCTCTGTGGTACAAGTGATTTTAAGCAGAATAAGAGTTGGTAAGGAAAATAAGTCACTCATCTACCCTATTTATTCCTTACAGTTTTCCAAAGGGTGCTTGGGTTTAAAAAAAAACCTGTCAGGAGAAGGATGCAGGTGACTGTGCCATCTGACTTAGAACTGAGCTTTCTAAATGTTACAATATTAATATATTTATGTAATTTATACACTGCCTTTTTCACTGAGACTCAATGTGGATTACACAGTGTAAGTCAGTGCAATTAATATTAAGGGTAGATGCTTGCACTTAAAGTCAAATTAGATTTATGGGTGATGGCGTCAGAATTTCTGAAACTAACCATGTTCTATGATTACTTAAAATATTTAGTTTTCTGAATGCAGTAACTTAATACGAACCAAAAGCTTTAAGGTATGAAGTACTGGTATATGCGGTCTTAATGTCACTTGCCTTTTTACATATGAGGTGTCCATTCACTTAACCTGGAACTATACTACTTGTTCATTTCCTTGTCTCTTTCCCCCACCCCAGTTCCATATCTTCTTAGTGCCTCTTCTTTCCCAGGGCATAGATGACCATTAGCATTGTTTCCTAGATGGCTTCCATTTACTCACCTCCCTCTTGAGGTAGTGGGTTAGGTCACATAATCCTGATGGTACTTAGCAAAGGCTACAGTAGTTGCTAAGCTTCTTTGGACGGAAAATAGGCATTTAAAGCCTGATCTTCTGTATGTTTTTTCAGAACTTACAAAATCATGTGGAAAGTGTTCGTAGAATTATAGGCTAAGTACACATACATGATGCTGCTGCCTTAAACTGAATCAGACCATTGGTCCATCAAGGTCAGTACTGTCTACTCAGACTGGTAGCAGCTCTCCAGGGTCCCAGGCAGAAGTGTTTCACATCACCTACTGCCTGGTCTTTTTAATTGGAGATGTTGGGGATTGATCCTGGGACTTTCTGCATGCAAAGCAGATGCTCTATCACTGAGCCACAGCCCCTACCCTGATTCCACATGGAAGTATTTTGGTGATTTGATTGCTCTTTATTTTAACTTTGCCCTGGTTGGGTAATCTTGAATTTGGTTTTGGTTTTTAGAATTACAGGCTGATTCCACATGGAAATTTTGCTCTGGTTTGGTGTCCATCCCCTAATTGTCCAGTTTGCATGTTTTCTCCCCGCTTTGCTATCATTCCCGTATCTGATTTGATATAATATTCTTGGAAAGCTTGTGGTTAAAGCATGTTTATGTACCATGTGAACAAGAAGCTCTGTGCTTTTTTTACAGGTCTTGCCTGCATCTATACTGTTTTTCTTGCCTCAGCTCCCCCAATTGCCATTTACCCTGCCATTTGAGGGCTTCTGGGTACTTTTTTTAAAAAGGCAGTTGATATGTTGCTATAGCATTATAATGTTAGAATGATTTGTGAATTAGTTTTTCTGCATTCACAGCTTTTGTTAAACAAATTAAATGTCTAGCCCTTTTCATTGCATAGGTCCACCTTTCTCTTTATCTCTACATTGAAAGGGGCTAGAGAATTTGTGTTTGAATGAAAGCTGTGAATTTGGAGGATAGATCATAGTAATATTGTGATGTTATAGCAATATGTTGGTTGTTGACTTTAGAAAAAGCCCTCTGGCGGGTGTGGGTTGTATGAGAAGCCAAGAGTGCTGGGGAAGGCACTGTGTGGATGCTCTATTGTAATTGCAAATGCCTCTGCATTAACAGCGGCAATGAAAGCTATGTGGAGAATCATCATCATTTGAAAGTAAGAACATAAGAGAAGTCAATGCTGGATCAGGCCAGTGGCCCATCCAGTCTAATACTCTGTCACACAGTGGCCAAAAATACCAGGTGCCATCAGGAGGCCCCGCAAATTCACTGCTCCCCCCCCCCCAGCACCAAGAATACAGAACATCACTTGCCCCAGGCCTAGAGTTCCTACCTATATCTTGCGGCTAATAGCCACTGATGGACCTCTGCTCCATATGTTTATCCAATTCCCTCTTGAAGCCATCAATGCTTGTAGCTGCCACCACCTCCTGTGGCAGTGAATTCCTTGTGTTAATCACACTTTGGCTGAAGAAGTACTTCCTTTTATCCGTTCTAACCCGACTGCTCAGCAATGTCATTGAGTGTCCACGAGTTCTTGTATTGTGAGAAAGGGAGAAAAGTACCTCTTTCTCTACCTGCTCTATCCCATGCATAATCTTGTAAACCTCAGTCATTTCTCCAAGCTAAAGAGCCCCAAGCGCTTTAACCTTTCTTCATAGGGAAAGTGTTCCAACCCTTTTATCATTTTAGTTGCCCTTCTCTGCACTTTTTCCAGTGGTATAATATCCTTTCTGAGGTGTGGTGACCAGAATTGTACACAGTATTCAAATGAGGTCGCACCATTGATTTATACAGGGGCATTATGATATGATACTGGCTGATTTGTTTTCAGTTCCCTTCCTAATAATCCTCAGCAGAGTGTTGGCCTTTT